AGACTATTCATCCGAAATAAGACTATTGTATTTGTCATTAAACAGCAAAAATGACCATTTCCTAGACTATTTTTGACTTTAAACAGAGTTATTTGCTTTTATTTCTAAGCTCCGCTAACCATCCTGATTGAATAGGAATCTAAATAGAACTCATATCACCCCTGGCTTCAGATCTCACTTACTCAAGTGAGCAGAGGGACACAGAACTAAGCAGACCACTGGAACCCTGCGGATGGCTGTGCAGGCTACTGCAAGTCATTCCACAAAGACACTAAAGGGAGGCGTACGAACTACCAGAGACTCTGAATAATGGGAAAAATCGACACGAGCTGTATCACACTGAGGGGACAGAAGCCAAAAAGAGCTTTTCTTCCAGTGATTTTTACTACTCACAATAAAAAGCTAATTAAGCTAATTCTAACATATTATTGGGATTCCAAAGAAGTATTACTCTCTCAGCCAGAAATATGGCCACTACCAAAAATTAATATTAAAATAGAGTTACATCTTCCAAAATTTTAACAAAACATTACGTTCACAGTGTGATTTGACATGGCTGAAAATACAACCAAGGGAACAACCCAAAATAAATGAACACTGCTATTTCAACATTAGCAATAAGATTATTTTATATTGCCCAATAACAGAGTATACACTTTTTAAAAATCTATTAGTATTTCTAATAGGATTAATACCCAAACTAATATTGATGATTAAACTTAAATACTAGGAACAGTGGTTGTATTATTGTCTTGAGAAGCAACAGACACAAGTAAAATACAGAACACATAGGAACACAGCCAGAGAAATCATGATAATGTAAATGGCTTACTTTGACGTGGCTCTGGGCTCCGAGGTTGTAGATCTCCGTAGGCTTCACATCATTAATGATCTTCACAAGGCAGGTACTGTCAGTGAGATCACCATAGTGCAATTTCATGTCTTTAGGATTCAAAAACATACTATTAGATAGAAAAAAAACAACGTAAGTTCCATTTTAGAAAATTCAAATGCATATTTTAAAAGTCTGAAAACCAGGGTCAAAATGGAAGTGTTATATTTGATGGTTCTGGAGCAGCAGAGTATAGCTGTAATCTTGAAAGAATCTAAGTAGTAGAAAGATACTTATATATGTTGCCTGGGCTGTAAAAGATCTGTAATGGTAAACTCAGATGAACTCTTTAAAAAATCATAATATCATGACAGATGTTACACAATTAACATAGAGTCCCAGGTGGTTGTGAGATGTGTTATATAAGAGTGAGATTCAGACAAAGAAAACCTTGTAATAATGTATATACCCTCTAAAGAAATCTATAACACACTGATGATATTGAAAACTATTCTGTATTTGTTCAGATACTTTTATCTAGCGATTTTTAAGTACATTATAAACATCAATCTTCAAGCCATCCATGAAATGTCTGATATAGTGGCCTAATTGGTTAAACGACAACTGGCCTCTTAAATTGGCCTCCAACTTTTAAATCTAAGCAGATCTTTACTCTGACTTGTTTTATCTAGCGATTTTTAAGTACATTATAAACATCAATCTTCAAGCCATCCATGAAATGTCTGATATAGTGGCATAATTGGTTAAAGGACAACTGGCCTCTTAAATTGGCCTCCAACTTTTAAATCTAAGCAGATCTTTACTCTGACTTCTTTAGTATAACAATTTGACATGTGTAGAAGGGTATTTTGCTAACTTAATCTTCTTATTTTTACGCAATATTGATCTATATCTAGGTCCAATGGCAGTACCGTTCTGCATCTTGCATTTGCTAACTTAATCTTATTTTTACGCAATATTGATCTATATCTAGGTCCAATGGCAGTACCGTTCTGCATCTTGCATGAAAATAATGATAATTTTCAAGGAAGATGCACTTTAATGACTTAACCATTAAGGTGAAAAGGCTTTTCTGTAGACAACTAGATCCTCTTCCTGATAATATCACTACCTATGTAAGTAACCCAAACCCTCAAATATTCAGGGGCTTCAAATACTCAGGCGAAAACAAAATCACTTATGGTTTACAAGCTGACTGTATTGTCCTTGCTGGCTGGAAAAACTGGACAAGTAATGCAGGCTGAACTTGAAGGTAAAAAGCCCTGTTTCCTAGTCCCAGCTCTGCCTTCTTCACGGTGTGTAACCCTGATAAAGTCACAACCTCTCTCTGCCTCCATTTCCTCATTTGTAAAATGGTCTCCCTAACAACCTCATGAGTTGCTATAAAGATTAAGTGAGAAAACACTCTAATTGTGCTATGTAAACTGCACAGGTACATACAAATTTATTAACAAAAATGGCAAAGCAACTGCAAATGTTGACAATGATCTATAAAGTAATTTAAATATAATTCTGATTGCCATCTGTTTTTGGACCTGTCTTCACAAATTATTTTAAAAATCAATTGAATGTACAAATATTGTTTAACTTGATTAAATTACACCAAATGAAAAAAGCAAAGGAGCACTCTGTCAATATGGAGCTACTCTTGCTTGAGGAGACAGGGACACCTGGAGAGGGTTGATCAAAGGCATGTCTTCCCTCGGTCTTTCCAAGTCACCTGCCCAATACCCCTGCAACAGCTGAACCCCAGTGACGCTATGACCTACAGAAGAAAGCAGCAAAGGTTTTCAAAGCATACAGATCGTACTCAATGCAGTAAGTAACCAATGGGTAAAAACAGTTGTGACTTGATGGGCTTGAGAAAAATGACATTTGAAAACACCTTACCTGAAGATAGAAAATTATAGGAAGAGATTTTAGAAGAAGAAAATGACTTACTTCCTTCAATATGAGCCTGGGGGTTCTTATACAGATGCTCAATTCGACCTGTGTTGAACGAACTGGAACGCCGTACAATTCCATGGACCTGAGTTTTTACAGTGTGGAAGGATAAAAGTAAGTTATAAATGTGCACTGAGGATTAATAAGCAACTCATAAGTTATTTTGATAATGCTTAGCTTTATGAAAAATATAAGTATTTACAAACACTATTTTTAAATCATTAGAAATAGTTCCACAGCTTACTTTCTCCCCAACAACCTACCAGTACCCTACCTCTGTCTTTCTCCAGTGTTTTTACTGCCAATTTCAACAAAAGTAATTAGATAATTATGTGACTTCATGCTTAGTTGTAGATACTCAAATGTCTCCCTTTCCAAACACACACACACACACAGCCCTACTGCTGACAAAAATATCTCTTGTGTTTGAAACTGAAGACAGACTACGAGAGTCCATATCAGTAAAACAGCTTTGTGGCCTATTCACAGAGCATGAGGCCACAACATCTTTCCAGCGTCCTCAGCCCTACTGCTGACAAAAATATCTCTTGTGTTTGAAACTGAAGACAGACTACGAGAGTCCATATCGGTAAAACAGCTTTGTGGCCTATTCACAGAGCATGAGGCCACAACATCTTTCCAGCGTCCTCAGAGTTACTGCCTTTTGCATCTATGAGATAGATATATTTCTGGAGCCACAGATAAAATCAAGAGCAGTTGCTATTACGCAGCTATGTGGAAATGTCAGAAAGCTAAATAGCAGAGGCTGGTGACTAGACTTATGTACTACTAGATTTAAGACATGAATAAAACTCAAATGAAGAAAAAAAAATTTTTTTTAATTTTTATCTTGACTTAACCATGATAAGTGTGTGCAGTGGGGGGAAGTCGTTGGAACAGGAATGCATACCTGTCTGATACCAAAGAAAAGACTATTTGTGTCTGACACATAAGAGAAATTGTTCCAGTCCTGGCCCCACTTCCTTCTTGTGTCAAGATTGCTCCCTTTGTGCTGCCAATGCTAACACCAGCTTATGTCACCAGCTGCCCAAGTTCCAGTTCTACTAGTGGCAGTTTTAATCCTTGACTTATTTTAGAAGTGTTCCTTCTAATGCTGGATAGGTTCATTTGCAGCTGAATACACTTCTATATTTTAACTCAATCGTTTTCTGTCTATTTCAAACCAAAATTAATCCTTGGCATTACTCGAATATTCCGAATGCAAGGGGGAAATTATAAGCACATAAGACTTTCTTTCAAACAGAAAGAAATGTCATCGTCATTTCATATGGCATACATGGGAAATTGACTTTTGCAAAGGATACAACACACCCACAATTAATAATTCTGTTGGTTAGTTTGTTTAGCCAAAGAGAAAAGCACTTGTCAACACTATTTTCCAAAAGAACTAAACCCAAGAAAAGTTGGGAAACATGAAAATATTTTAAGACAGGAACATCACAAACTTGGTTGACATTTAGGAGGCAGACATTAAAAACTAGGAAACGTTGAAATGAGATTTGGCTATACATACCCATTTCTTAATTTAGAAGTGGAGAATATAACACAAATAATAGGCATTGAATTTATTCCACTTTATGGTCTTCAATTTTTCAAATTGTTACTTAATTGTAAAGTTGAACTGCTCTACAAACTTAATAATTTTTGTGTAATAAAAATCAATTTCAGGGCCAGCCCGGTGGCGCACTCGGTAGAGTGCGGCACTTGGGAGCATGGTGGCGCTCCCGCNAACTTTTAAATCTAAGCAGATCTTTACTCTGACTTCTTTAGTATAACAATTTGACATGTGTAGAAGGGTATTTTGCTAACTTAATCTTCTTATTTTTACGCAATATTGATCTATATCTAGGTCCAATGGCAGTACCGTTCTGCATCTTGCATGAAAATAATGATAATTTTCAAGGAAGATGCACTTTAATGACTTAACCATTAAGGTGAAAAGGCTTTTCTGTAGACAACTAGATCCTCTTCCTGATAATATCACTACCTATGTAAGTAACCCAAACCCTCAAATATTCAGGGGCTTCAAATACTCAGGCGAAAACAAAATCACTTATGGTTTACAAGCTGACTGTATTGTCCTTGCTGGCTGGAAAAACTGGACAAGTAATGCAGGCTGAACTTGAAGGTAAAAAGCCCTGTTTCCTAGTCCCAGCTCTGCCTTCTTCACGGTGTGTAACCCTGATAAAGTCACAACCTCTCTCTGCCTCCATTTCCTCATTTGTAAAATGGTCTCCCTAACAACCTCATGAGTTGCTATAAAGATTAAGTGAGAAAACACTCTAATTGTGCTATGTAAACTGCACAGGTACATACAAATTTATTAACAAAAATGGCAAAGCAACTGCAAATGTTGACAATGATCTATAAAGTAATTTAAATATAATTCTGATTGCCATCTGTTTTTGGACCTGTCTTCACAAATTATTTTAAAAATCAATTGAATGTACAAATATTGTTTAACTTGATTAAATTACACCAAATGAAAAAAGCAAAGGAGCACTCTGTCAATATGGAGCTACTCTTGCTTGAGGAGACAGGGACACCTGGAGAGGGTTGATCAAAGGCATGTCTTCCCTCGGTCTTTCCAAGTCACCTGCCCAATACCCCTGCAACAGCTGAACCCCAGTGACGCTATGACCTACAGAAGAAAGCAGCAAAGGTTTTCAAAGCATACAGATCGTACTCAATGCAGTAAGTAACCAATGGGTAAAAACAGTTGTGACTTGATGGGCTTGAGAAAAATGACATTTGAAAACACCTTACCTGAAGATAGAAAATTATAGGAAGAGATTTTAGAAGAAGAAAATGACTTACTTCCTTCAATATGAGCCTGGGGGTTCTTATACAGATGCTCAATTCGACCTGTGTTGAACGAACTGGAACGCCGTACAATTCCATGGACCTGAGTTTTTACAGTGTGGAAGGATAAAAGTAAGTTATAAATGTGCACTGAGGATTAATAAGCAACTCATAAGTTATTTTGATAATGCTTAGCTTTATGAAAAATATAAGTATTTACAAACACTATTTTTAAATCATTAGAAATAGTTCCACAGCTTACTTTCTCCCCAACAACCTACCAGTACCCTACCTCTGTCTTTCTCCAGTGTTTTTACTGCCAATTTCAACAAAAGTAATTAGATAATTATGTGACTTCATGCTTAGTTGTAGATACTCAAATGTCTCCCTTTCCAAACACACACACACACACACACAGCCCTACTGCTGACAAAAATATCTCTTGTGTTTGAAACTGAAGACAGACTACGAGAGTCCATATCAGTAAAACAGCTTTGTGGCCTATTCACAGAGCATGAGGCCACAACATCTTTCCAGCGTCCTCAGAGTTACTGCCTTTTGCATCTATGAGATAGATATATTTCTGGAGCCACAGATAAAATCAAGAGCAGTTGCTATTACGCAGCTATGTGGAAATGTCAGAAAGCTAAATAGCAGAGGCTGGTGACTAGACTTATGTACTACTAGATTTAAGACATGAATAAAACTCAAATGAAGAAAAAAAAATTTTTTTTAATTTTTATCTTGACTTAACCATGATAAGTGTGTGCAGTGGGGGGAAGTCGTTGGAACAGGAATGCATACCTGTCTGATACCAAAGAAAAGACTATTTGTGTCTGACACATAAGAGAAATTGTTCCAGTCCTGGCCCCACTTCCTTCTTGTGTCAAGATTGCTCCCTTTGTGCTGCCAATGCTAACACCAGCTTATGTCACCAGCTGCCCAAGTTCCAGTTCTACTAGTGGCAGTTTTAATCCTTGACTTATTTTAGAAGTGTTCCTTCTAATGCTGGATAGGTTCATTTGCAGCTGAATACACTTCTATATTTTAACTCAATCGTTTTCTGTCTATTTCAAACCAAAATTAATCCTTGGCATTACTCGAATATTCCGAATGCAAGGGGGAAATTATAAGCACATAAGACTTTCTTTCAAACAGAAAGAAATGTCATCGTCATTTCATATGGCATACATGGGAAATTGACTTTTGCAAAGGATACAACACACCCACAATTAATAATTCTGTTGGTTAGTTTGTTTAGCCAAAGAGAAAAGCACTTGTCAACACTATTTTCCAAAAGAACTAAACCCAAGAAAAGTTGGGAAACATGAAAATATTTTAAGACAGGAACATCACAAACTTGGTTGACATTTAGGAGGCAGACATTAAAAACTAGGAAACGTTGAAATGAGATTTGGCTATACATACCCATTTCTTAATTTAGAAGTGGAGAATATAACACAAATAATAGGCATTGAATTTATTCCACTTTATGGTCTTCAATTTTTCAAATTGTTACTTAATTGTAAAGTTGAACTGCTCTACAAACTTAATAATTTTTGTGTAATAAAAATCAATTTCAGGGCCAGCCCGGTGGCGCACTCGGTAGAGTGCGGCACTTGGGAGCATGGTGGCGCTCCCGCCGAGGGTTCGGATCCCATATAGAGACCGGTCCGCTCACTGGTTGAGCACGGTGCAGGCGCGACACCGAGGGTTGCGATCCCGTTACCGGTCACGAAAAAAGACAAAAAAAAAAAAATCAATTTCACATATGTACATATGTGTATATATATATATATACATACACACACACACACACACACACACACACACACACACACATATATATATATATATAGCAAAACTGGTATCTACCACCAAAGTTGTTTCTGAAATACAGATTTCTCAGATGTAAGTGCTTTGTTTCACTGGATAGAGAGGAATTCCTGTGTTCAAAAAACAGATAATTTAATTTTGACCAAAAAAAAATGATATTTAGGCTATCTTCCCTTGACGGCTAGATTCTGTGTCACATATTCTAACAGCCCAAAACACAGAGAAATGTCATGTAGATATCCATTACACAGACATAAAAAGCTTTGATAAAAATATTAAATGATCTTGATGGATTCAGAGTGAAAAGCAGACAACCACACAAAGTTACAGCAAATCAGTAACACAGGACCTTATTGTCACACTTATAACCAAAAGCATTAAGCCCTAGTGGGTTGGGGAGGGAGGGACGGTTAAATACAAAAATGTGTTTTAATTTCCCCTCACTCCCAACTTTTGGTATGTACGTACAGGGAAAGAGAGACCTGCCAAATGCTTAATCCATGACAGAAGGTATTATTCTAAGAACTAATGAAAGCTGAGTCTGTCTGCCTCTGAGACAGGTGAAATACAAACTTTAAGTCAAGCCAAAATGTGTGCAAACTGCGTAATCTAGTTAAGAATTTGAGATTAGAGGCTTTCTCTTTACAGAAGGGATGTGGATGGGGTTTTTTTGTTTGTTTTTATAAGGATTTGAGGAGAAAAAGAGATGAGGGGTTAGAAAACCAAACTGAAAAAATAAGAGAGCTGAATTTGACTTTATATAAACTTAAAATCATTATTAAATTACAGGAGATCAAAAACAAAATATAATTCTGAAAAACTGAGGTCTTAAACAGAAGTGGGTGTTTTGACAAATTTCATGTCCCTTTTAACTAGGTGATGAAAAGGAAAATTTCAAGTTCTCACAATGTCAGAATAAAGTTGATTTGACATCAAAACCTAGAGTCAAATTAGGAAATATGATGTAGAAATGCCCTATTATTTATTATGACCAGGAAAACAAAATTATTACCAATGGATTCCAAATTCTTTAGTGTCTAGATTTCTCTGAGAGGCAAGGTTGCCTCCTAGGGATGGTTAATGCCACCCACCCACCTTTTGAAATACATATATTATCTAGGTCATATCAACAGCTAACATTTATACAGCAGTGACCAAGACACCTTTCTTTATAGACATTAAATTACTTGATCTGGGCCGGCCCCGTGGCTCGCTCGGGAGAGTGCGGCACTGGTAGCACCGAGGCCACGGGTTCGGATCCTATATAGGGATGGATGGCTGTTGCGCTCACTGGCTGAGCGTGGTGCGGACCACACCATACTGAGGGTTGTGATCCCCTTACTGATCCAAAAAAAAAAAATTACTTGATCTTCTCAGCAACCTTACTATCATTATTCCTGTTCTACTAACAAGGATGCTGCTTGAGACCACACAACTAGTTATTGTTAGTGTCAAAAGGTAGCCTTGGTCAAGCCTGCTGACACTCACTATAGTTTCAAAATGGAATCCATGAAAAGCTTTGCCCTTTTTTCAATCAAAGCATCAAGGCTTCTAGGATAACCAACAACCCAGAAAAAAATATTTCAAGAATTCTCACAGACCAAGAAAGGAATGGAACTCCATGTTCTAAGAAATAACCTCCCAAGAGATAACAAACAATCCTTATATCCCACCTCTTTTCTGTTCTGATACTCCACACCAGAGATGGTGGTTATAGTTCCTTTCCTGGACAGGAAACCCACAATTTACCTACTATTTATTTTAAAATCTGGTATGTTGTATTGCAGTTGCTACCAAGTTATTGAAGACAGATTTTTTCATACATTCCCAGATAAATTTTGGCTTTTAAAAGATTCAACTTTTGGGCCGAGCCCGTGGCGCACTCAGGGTTCGGATCCTGTATAGGGATGGCCGGTGCGCTCACTGGCTGAGCGCGGCGCAGCCGGTCTCAAAAAGGACAAAAAAAAAAAAAGATTCAACTTTGTGTTTTATTTCTCTGGTTTTCCTCTGTACTTGCACAAAATGGGTACAAAAGTATGTTGTTGGCTTATTTGCTAACGATAGTGCTGGGAAGGCCCTTGAAACTAGAATGTGCTTCCATGTAAAGCTTCGCTTCTGTCGATTTTCCTTTGTCCCTTCTGATAGGAAGGAATGAGCACAGCTCTCGCATCCCAGGCAACAAAATGTGCCTGCTTTTCAGTAATGTTAATTAATGAATCAGCCTAAGGGGGCTTGTACAAATCCTGACAAAAGGCCTGTCAGCATCAGGTACCATCACTCTGTCACAGTATCTGACGAACGGAATCCCGTGAATCCCACAGAGCTCTACTGGCTGAGTGTGTTCCATGTACTGTCTTACCTCATTTTCACAACCTCAGGAGATAGTTATGCCTATCATGTGCATTTACAGAAAAGGAAACTAAGCCTTAGAGGGGGCAAGTGACTTGCCCAAGGCCACAGGGCCAGCAAGTGGCAGAGGAAGATTGAGACCCAGGCCATCTAGTGCCTGAGCCCAAGGGCTCTCTTGCCCCCGTGGTGGACCAGCTTGTTCACTCCCCTTTGCCCTGCGCTCGTCAATGGGGCATAAAGGAGAATGCTCCCTTACACTTCAGCAACGTGTAGAATTAAGTATACAAAGAATTTAAAGTGTGATTTTCCATAAAACTTGACAATTCTCGGTTTTCCTCATCATGAGATGAAATCTATTGGTACTCAACAGCACGAAGGTCAAGGGTTCAGATCCCTGCAGCGGCCAGTTGTCCTCCCCACCCCCCAAAAAAGAATGAATGAGTAATAGATCCATTCTCTTTATGTTCCCCTTGATGTTTAATTCTGAGCAAAACTCAAAAAACAAGCAACATTAAAAACTGTCACTTTAAACCTTTAAATAGAATCTCTTCTCAATGAGAACTGGACCAGGAATAAAGCAATCTTTCCCTTTTTTACTTTAAATGGTTCTTTCGGAGCATGATCAGATGTGTGGATTTCAGTGGCACACTGGATGGCCAGGCCCCAGGGCTTCAGGAATTTAAATGCATTGGAGATCACCCAAGATAATTAACCACAATAACCAGTCCATCAATATAAGCTATTCCTTTTCAGTCATCAGCAAATGCCTATTTTTGCTTTAAGGTTAGCTAAGCTTTCTGTACATTTACTTTGCTTTTTGACTAGAGAAAAGGAAAAGAGTGTATCTAAGTGTGCTGTGCCAATTCCATACATAGGGCTTGTTCCTGCCCGTGTCGCTCGTCACCTGCATCTGCCACACTGGCTCTGCTCTTTGCTTCCCCCCAGCTGAGTGCTGCTGCCCCACACAGTCCATGCTCCCCCAACTCCTTAACAAGAGGCTGACTTGCCACTGCTAGCCAATCCAAGTGTGCCTCTTTCTTTTCTAGGAAAAACACCTCAGTCACAGCATCAAGCCTCTTCTGCACAGTGTTTATCTATTCCTGGCTTCCACTTTGCTATCCCCAAGTATGCTGTTTCCAATTGTTTCTGATCTTTGTGACATTCCTTATACAAAGATTAGATTCAAAGTAATGCGACAGCTTGGAGAAGTGAGGCCCCACAAAATTAAAATGTCTTCAGACACCTTATTCACCTTTGCCGTATGATTAAATCAGTTGCCCAATCTCACATGAGCCTTCGGTTGCAGTGGTTCTCTATCTGTAGTAGCCAGGCAAGCAGTATCAGCAACTAGGGACAACTTAGAAAGGACAATTCCCAGACCTCTAAAATAGCTTTGTGTCTCAGCAGGAGCTCTGGGTGATTCTGATGCACACCACAGGTTGAGAATCCGCTGAGTTAGAAGTCTGTACTCATCCAAAATTGCTGATGTTGACCCTCTGGGTTCAGGTGTAGACAGGTATATCCCTCCTTCATCCTACTTCATGCAATCTACTAAGCCTATTATTTTGTTCATGGTCTTGAGGAACCAGGGGCTGCAGCTGATAATTCTGGAAATTTTCTAATGGAGCCAATTTGAAAAATCACTCTAACATTCACTTTGACTTAAGCAAAAAAAGATAAAGCCTGCTCCACTACCAGATTCCTCTTAATAGCTTATTCTCTAATTACAGCAATCTCTTAAAATTGAGGACAGCAGGCTACTAAAACTGAATATAATACAGATAAACACCCTTTCGCTCCCGCTATCTGTACAAAGCTCACATTTCCCCTGGACTCACTTCTGCTCATGCTTTGTAGCTCTGTCCCTTCTCCCTGTACTGTCAATCCTGCCTCCTTCTATCAATTTACAGATCTTACTCCTAAACCTTTCTTCTCACACCAGTCATTGTTTCAGTGATAAATTCCTCCCATTACCTATGTTTTGCCAAGTGGGCCTTCTATTGTCTTTGTATCAGAATCAAAACTGCTCTTTTATAATTTCAAATGTCAGGAAAACAATTCCAGCTCCCGAGACAGTCCTAGGTTCTCATTGCATCTATTTTCAATTCTTTCATCCTACTTGTCTTCTGAAGTCTGGCAGTTCCTTAATGAAAGACACTTAAATGGAGCTTTGCCGTGCATGTCTTCAGCCTGGCCTTTTCCAGTTACACAGCGCCGCAGTGCCACCGCCCCTCCTGCCTGAGAATGGTTAACATCCACACAACCCAGGCCCTGTCACTGGCGTGCATGTCTTCAGCCTGGCCTTTTCCAGTTACACAGCGCCGCAGTGCCACCGCCCCTCCTGTCTGAGAATGGTTAACATCCACACAACCCAGGCCCTGTCACTGGTCCACCCATTATCACAGCACACTGCTATGCTCCCTTGTCCTCTGGACTAGATACAGACACTGCCTGTTGCCACCAGCCTCATCTCCAGTCTCAGTCCCCCACATCCAACTAGAAGTAGCTCTCACTTCTGATATGCTACCTCGACCTTCAAAACTGCAGCCACTACTGCTCAGCTAGCTCCACACAACCACAGCACTAATGCCTCTCTAGCCACCAAACACCTCTCAGCTGCTCCCAAACATCCAAAACATGGTACAGACATCTCTTTGCAAAACTTTCCTTTTAGTACTTATTAAGGCGTTAGGTTAATCCAGCCTCAATAAGCATCAGTCTTTCACTTAAACCAATTCTTTGTGCTACATATTACCTACTATAAAACTCTCTGCCCTGTAGAATATGTATTTCTCTGTGTGTGCATGTGTACTTTCATAATTGCACTTGTCTCATTTTGACATTATCGCAAGATGTAGAACTGGCTATTAGATAAGGGTACAGAAAGTGCTAAACACATCTGCTACTACATCTTAAAGTCTAAGAGTCGAGAATCTTAGAAAATTAATTTCCTTTTCTTCTAATGCTGTTAGCATTTAGATGCCAAATTCCCTGCTATTGTTTTTCCATTTGTGCCAACTGCACATTTTTTAAACAAGGTATGTACAACTGGAATAAACAGACAATCCAAAATTATTAGTGTAAACATTCCCAAAGTAGGTCAGAGCATATGGGCCCCTGTGTAGACTTTTGTTCTCTATATAGCATGAATTTACATACATGTATATATCTGAAAATGTTCTAAAAAACAAAAAAAAATCACTGCGCTATGTCAGATTTAATATATAAAACGCTTGTTTAAGGGAAGGAGAAAATGTTGGAGGAGGAGGAGGAGAGATCAACATCGAAGTGCAGCAGCACCAGCTGCAAATGCAGACGTTTTAGCTTTCATAAAACACATGACAGCCTGTTAGAAAGCAAAAACCTCCAGGTGTAAATTTTTCATTCAAGTTTGCCAAATATCAGATTGGTTTTTATTGCTCTGTGCAATTTCCGAATTAAGTGACTTCACTGTGAGTGGGACTTTTTTATGTAACTCATTACATCATAAATTAAGCCTAATAATGGGACAGCCCTGGCCTGCACAAGGGACTGCTTCCCCAGCTGGTACAGGCAGCTGCAGTGCAGCTCGAGGCACAGGCACTGCAGACGCACAGCACCCGCAGACGCACAGCACCCGCAGAGGCAGAGCACACTAGAAGAGGCTACATGCTGTGGCTGAGCTGTTTTTCCTTGAAAAGAAAGAGGTACACTTGGATTGGCTAGCAGTGGCAAGTCAGCCTTCTTTTTTTTTTTTTCCCTTTTTGTCTTTTTTCATGACCGGCAACGGGATTGCAACCCTCGGTGTTGCGTCCACACCTCGCTCAGCCAGTGAGCGGCCGTGGGATCCGAACCCTCAGCGGGAGCGCCGCCGGGCTGCAGTGCGCCACCGGGCCGGCCCCGCAAGTCAGCCTTCTGCTAAGAACCTGGCTATTGGTTTCAGTGGAGAACATACGCGGGCAGCGGGCACAGAGAGCCTGCCGTCTCAGTCCATCACCCACCTCGTAGCCTTTCTCCAGCAGAAACTCGGCCAAGTAGGAACCATCCTGGGGAGAGAAGGAAAATTGAAAATCATCAGACCTACTGTGGCTGCTATAGAAAGGTGACCTTGAGTTTTGAGAAAAGCATTAAAAGGTTACGTGAACTTAAGTTAAGAATCATGGCAACCAAAATAAAAATAATACTAAACATGATGATAACACTACCCGGTGTTCCACTACACACAAAGCATTTCCACGGGCAGTAGTATTTCATTTGAGCTCCACGGAAGACAGAGGAGAAACTGAAATCCAGGGAAGTAATGTGGAGCTACAGAGAGAACATGAAGCTCAAATTCAGACGAATTTGTGTTTAGGTTTTGCCACTTTCTAGCTGTGTGAAATATACAAAATATGGGTGCAAAGCAGAATGCCTTGGTGCTTAGGAACATCAAACAGAAATTTTACTAATTCTGGGGGTGGGGAGAGGGTGTAAAATTGAAATTGCTTGGGAGGGGATGACATGGGAGTTAGGGGGCTTGGGGAGAGGGAAGGGCGAGTGTGGAGAGGTGGCACTGAACACGGGGAATGGCACTACGGATAAAGCCTCCACAGTGGAATGGAAAAGGCAGGGGGGCAGTGGAGGAAAGTGAGCATCTCTGGGAGGTCGGCCTTCCAGGCACTGCAGGGAGTTGGCTGCCACTAACCCAAGAATTCTGGAAAGTCACTTGAACGGCTTGAGGGTTTTATGGGGGGAGGGAGGGATATGATCACATTTGTATTAACACTGCATATGTATGCACATCCACATACGAACTTTTAAAAGAGGGAAGATATTCATTACTTAATAAAATAGTAAGTAGTTCATTTGTATTAATCTTGAATCATGTAGTCAATTCCTACTTTAAGATGAAGGTGTCTGACTAAATACTGAGATTCTCAACTAGTTTTTAATAATTCTTTTAGAAATTTCTGGGGTAGGGGTCTCTTATTTAAACTGAAATATTTCATGTGCCACTTTCAGGGAAAGAAAGTGTGAAGGACATCTAACTAAACTGTTAACAGGTCAAAGCTGAGAAATCACCATTCTAGAGGTGCTACAAAAAGTCACCAGGCTCTCTCAGAAAATGCATTGGGTAGACATTTTGCAATCAATCCTGAAATTGCTCTTCTGCTTTTAGCCCAAGTGTGGGGTCCCCCTCCACCCCATCCAGACTTAAACATGAAAACGGGAGGCTGCAACTATTGGAAGTTTGTGTGCTTAAAAGCTGTTTGGGAAGTTTGGGTTTTCTTTGGTTTCTTCAGTTTCAAAAAGCTTAAAATATCCCTTTGAGCTTCAAAAGTTCCTAGCAGATATTCCAGGAAAAAGAAAAATGAAGCAAGCCTTATTATTATCATCACTTGACCTAAAGCTGGAATTGGAGACACACTATGGGTCCTGAAAATGACTGGGCTGCCAAGGGAGTGTTTACTACATTAATGCAGAAGACATGCATAAATTCAGGCAGAATGACAAGGCAAGGCATACAAGGGACACATTTTGAGGTTCATTAAAACCTCCAGATTTTCTTCTGACTTCTTGACATAAATATTCTGGTTACAGACTCATGTGGAGAAGAAGAGAAGCGGTTTGGCACATTTCTTTTCATCTCAATCTTACAGTTTGAGTGGTTTTTACATACCCAATGTCCGAGCTGACCCATTCAGACCAGGGTAAGCCAGGTCAGCCTACACGACCATCAAACGCTAGAGTAATCAGCAGTGCTACACATCAATCAGTGAGAAAACGGCTGAACAGAAAAGTATTTGTAACAAGAACAATAATTGGACAGTAGATTGGAAAGCCCTGGGAAACATGAAGTTCTACTGCTGTTTTGCTTTTGTCATTTTGAAACAGGCAGCACGATACTTTTCATGTTTTATAATTCTCCTGGAATAAAAAGTTAAAGTGCTTTGTCTTCTACCATAGTTGCATAGAATGTTTAAAAAAAAAAAACAAAGGCAGAGGTGAGCACGCTGTAGACCCCTCGGGTGGGGAGAGCTGTGATTATTTAGAAAGCTGATGTGAAACAGACCTGACCAGTGCTGAACCCTGTCAATAAGGTCTTGTTCTTCTCACCCAGGCCCTTCTCAGACTTTCCAACCGCACTGGAACATTCTGAACCAGCAGTGGCACCCGCTTCCTCCTCACTTCCTTGCCAGGCCTCTCAAGTGATAGGGCCCGCGCTGCACAATGAGTGGGAAACGAGCCGAGCAAGGCTCCTGGTCTCTGGCCCAGGGAGCCTAGCTTCCTCCCACCCCCTCGTCCTCTCCCCAGGCCCCTGGGGGACTCCAGGGGAGACACAGTATCTGAGCAGGCAGACGTCCACCAAGCCAGCAGGATGGTTGTTTCCGCTTGCTCCTGAAGCACAGGGCTGATAGAGAATGCTCCAATCTGACTAATGACTGAAATGTCACAGCAACTGAGAACTTGCAACTAACACTTGATGCCTCTGAACCCAAGGAACAAATAGACTAAATCTCCAACTGGTTCACTACGAGCACCATTAATCTGGTATAAATTCCTGCCTGAGTTCAATCCTTGTTACAAAAAACATTTTAATTGAAAAGATAATGTCCCAATGTGACCCTTTTAAATTTAACTTTACACATGGTTATTAAGGGTATCTATTTCATGTTAAATGCCCTACAGTTTTAAGCAACACCATAGCTTTAACATTTTCAAGACACAGAAATATTTCCTATCTTACTATCCCAAGAGCTTAGCTAGGAAGGTAAGCAGCCATGTGGCATCTCCAGTAACTGAGGCATGGTGAGGTTAGCCAACTTGCCTAATATCACACTACTAACTATAGACAAAGCCTGCACTAGGATCCAAGTCCTTTCATTATTTTGAACCAGGAAATAATCTCCTTCCTTACCCTCCTCACTTGGGACCTACCCAAACATGTGAAAACCCAACAAAATAATAAAAGACCATAAAGGATTCATTTTCAAACTAAATTGATTTAGTCATTTTCTATTATAGGGTGTTTTATGGATTAAACAGTGCTTCCAGTTTTAATCAAGTGACCCAAACCCAGAGAAGTCATGTAATTTTAGAGCACTCCAGAGCACAGAAGAGGGAGAAAGGATACAGTGCCTGAGATTTCCCAGGTGCTGGTTTGGGGCACTTAAACCGTGAAGTGGTGCAGTGTAATTTGGAGGTGGACGCAGACTGGTGGTGGACGTGTGACGGGCTGTAGGGCTGAGGGGGCAGAGCCCCTGCCCAGGGTCCAAAAGGGCCAGGTTTCAGTATGCCTCATGCCTATCTTGTTCTTCGAAGGGGGTGGAGCATCACTTCTCAAGGAGTACTCAGAAATGTTCCAGATAGAATCACATAAAAATTAGGAGTAATTCCAGAAATTAATAGAATTATATTTTGACTACGATATGAAAACTACCTAAAATTTCACATCTATAAAAAGCTGAAGGAAACACAGAAAGTTTCTCCCTCTTCCCCATAGCCATAGATTGCTAGAAAAAGCACTGACCAACCCTCATATCCATACCCCACCCCATGCAAACACATATGTGCCTGGCAGGCCACCTTCCTGCAGTGAAGAGAGACTAGTATTTCTTTTCTCTCTTCCAACGTGGATGCACTTATAGCCCAGACGGGCAAATGAAAAGGAATTTTCTTAAGTGCAATTTGAGAACCTGGCCCTCTGAACTGCATGCCAAATCATACTGTATGTTTCTGCTTAAGCACCGTTTGGCAGCTTCTTTGAACAGGATAAGATAAGTAGTATTGGGCTAAAGAAACCATGCCACCGATAAAATGAATTTCTTTGTTTAGATCATCTCAAGCATCAGGAAATAGAATATCTCTTCTGTAAGAAGAGAAAGTAATCATTTGCACTGCCTTTTATGCTCTTTAACTCTATATATTCTAATTACTTTTTTTAAAGTATCTTTCCAGCTAATCAAAATTATAATATCTGTATTCTGTACCTTCAAATAAGAGATATACAAACACCTCAATAATTAACAGAGGATGCTGCTTTGGATCAAAATGAAAACTTCCAATGATTTAACCACTGTGGTGTGAAGTGGTTAGAGGCAGAATATATTTAAAAAGTATTTACAACTGGCTCATGTATGTAGCACAAATCAATGGATAAAATGTCAGACTCCCAGAACTCAAAAGACTATGGGTATTAATTAATCCACCTCTCTTATTTTACAGATCAGGAAATTGAGACTGAAAACAGTTAAATGTTTAGTATACAGACACACAGTTAAGAAGTAGCAGAAACTGCACCAAAAAATAAATAAATAAAAAACAGGTCTCTGGACTCCCAACCCTCAGAATTTTGCACTAAAAAACACAATAAAGCGTTACCAGAATGAAGAATGAGAATAAAACCCTTAACCAGTAGAGTGATCATTCACTGATTGACTGGTAGAAAGGAAATGAGGACACCATTGATATTTAAAACATACAAATAACTCCCATCTCCCATAGTCTTTAAAGTTGAAGTATTTCTCCATAAAATCTGCTGTCACCAAAGAACTTTCACTTCTTTTGACTTACCTCCTGGTAGAGAGGAGCATAGCAATCCAGAAAACATGGCCAACAACCTCTGAATAATAATGGATTGTGGGAGCAGCTAAGATACATAACCACCCCGTCCCTCTTGGTGAGTAACAGAGCACTTCAAGCAGGTGTCCAGTAAGCGTGGCTTCATAGCCAAACACAATACCTTCAAATAAATGGTGATGAATGTAAGGTTAATATCGGCATTTTAGAAAGAGGCCAGATACTTCCAGTAATCCTACACAAAGGTCTACCATGATCCAGAATCCTTTCCCCCAACACATGCACCATTTCAAAAGGTTAAAATATTAAGTTTCATGACCACGGGCAGTCAAAAAAAAAAAAAAATTTACATATAGAAAAATATCAGAGGAAAGAAATAACTTAAAAGATTAATTTTAAAAACATTTTTTCCCAATTTGATAGGTTAAAAAAAAGCATAACTTTTTTTTTTTTTGATTAGTATTAAGACTGAAGACGTTGGTGTTTGTGACCTTACATACTATTTCTTCGGGGAATTATTTATGCTTATCTTTTATATTCTTAACCCACTTTTCTAATAGGCTATGTTTTGTCAATTGATTTATTCTCACAAGTATCTATAACATGTATAAAGTTGACTAATTATCATCCCCAATAAAAACCACTCAAAAACTGGTATTTCAAAATACGTTTTAGCAGATGTTCAGTGGCAGAAGTCCTATAACAACACAGTTTAAAATACGTGTTCCTTTCAAATTGCAAATGATTGTTGGAAACGCTTAAAGAGCATGCAAATGCCAAAATGTGCACTCCAGGTACCTGCACAACCTAACATTTGTAATAACATTAACATACTAAAATAAATTTCTGTAATTTAGGCAAATACTATAAGGAAAATAGGTCTAAAGTGTTTAAAACAAGCGGGTAGAAAGGAAGCAGTTGCTGATAAGGTATAGAAAGACAATTTTTAATTAAATGATTAGGAGACACAGATACTCTTACACGTACAGTCCAAGAAATGTTTTAAAAGCCCCAAGAGTAAATCTAAAGGCACTTTTTAACAGCCTACATGTGTGCTGGGTGGTGCACAATATGGAGACACACCGAGGGTGAGTCTACCTGCTCATCTCCACAAGGAATACTGTATCCCACTGGTTTTCTTTCTTTTTTTTTTTTTTTTTTTTTTTTTTTTTTTTTTAATATATGCTCTTCTGGTTTGAACCTCTATTTTTCTTTCTCTTCCACTTCCACTTCTCTTCTCCCATGCTTGCCACTCATGCTGAAGTTTTTATTCTACAGAGGGAAAAAAAATCCTAGTGTGACCTGCTATTACTACATGTGATAATCGTAACAACAATAGCACTCAGTACGCGCCGGGAAGCTCTAAGTTTCCCACATTCCTTACCTTTTTAAATCTTCAGGATAATCCTATGTAGATGGTACTAGTATTATCTCCATTTTACAAATCAGGAAACTGAGCCAAATTGAGACTCTGTAACTTGCCCGAGGTCTAATAGTTAGTTGGTAGAGCAAGGATTTAAACTATGTATATTTGTAATGAATTATTTATATGGCAATTTGATGGGCCTGGAGATATTTTAACATAATATTTGGTTTCTATATAATTTACTAAGAATGAAAAGTAAGCTGATTAGTGAATATCAAACACCTACTTGGGGCCATAGGTGTTATGGAATGGAGAAGGACAGGAAGGAAATAAGAGATTTAGTCCCTGCCCCATTGCTCTGAGAAGTATCTGGGAAACCAGGCGTTTCCTGGCCGAGATAGGGTTATGCTTCAACACTGGCTGGGACCTCCAGATTTCACACGCATCAGCACACTCACACGTGGACAGGATGAGAATAATAAGCAGGTAACCTGTACAGCTAATCAAAACGTTTTGCTATTAGGCAACACCAGCAGATGCGTGAGTCATGGACAAAGGGTGGCAAGACTCTGGGGATGAAAGGAAAGCTATGAAATACTACCACACTGACCTCTTCTATACTGGAGAAATAAATCACCATAGTTGAGCACAAAATCAAGGTTGGGAAAAAACAGAGGAAATACAAGAAGCATATCCCTGTCGAAATGCTTTTAAAGATCTGCCTAACTGGCCAGTTCAGTGCTGGTGTGAATAACTGCTTCCAAGTTTAAAACAGTATACTAGCTGAAAGTTTATATAACTCAGGGCTCCAAATACATTGATACAGATTTGTATAAAACTGCTTTTTCGGAGCGGGGACTGGCCAGTTAGTTCAGCTGGTTAGAGCACAGTGTTGTAACACCGGGGGGTCAAGGGTTTGGATCCCGTACTGGCCAGCCACCAAAATCAAAAAACAAAATTAAAAAACAATTTTTATAAATCCGTAAGGGAAGCTAATAATAAATTACCAGTAAAATGTATGCTTAAACAATAATTTCTTTGCATAAATAGCTGTATATATATGTATGCATTAAAATTGTACAAATTTTGAAAAGAGTTCATCTCCCTTCCCCTTTCTCACTATCTCTCAAAGTGACAGTCCATACAATTAAAGGCTGTTTCTTTGCAAAGTAATGCTTACGTAGTTCTAAATACTCAAATGATTTATAGAGGAAATGATTTTTTGCAGGTACTCTAAGACAGAGCTGTGCTTTGTCCAGTGTTCAAGGCCATGCTTAATGAAAAACTTTAAATTTGGAAGAAAAAAACTAGTATTGAAAAGAGAATTATGAAATTTTAGTATCTACCTGATTTATTAACACTTCCTTGGGCATTTATTTTCATAATTTGTGTCCTGGCTAAGGCAGGAAGACAAAACAAATGTCCTTTTGTTTATGGCTTTAAAAGGTCATAAAAATAACAAAAGAATACACAAGTATTGATGACTATATCTTTCCTCATTTTACTGTACATTCATTTAACAGGTTGCTATTAAATGTCACTGACAGTTACACACAGAATTTAACTATTTACAACTATTCTTGTTCTTTTTACCCAATTTCTTTCAGGGATATAATTAATTAGTATTATCCAGTTAAGATTGTTCTTAAAATATGAACACGTCATGATAGAAATGCTACTCATTGGTTCCCTGATGCATTTCAGATCTGCTCTGCAACTACACAGTCCCCCTTCATGCAGAAACATTGTAAATCACTGAAGAAAGACATAGGTTAACTGAGTAACTTAAAATCACTGAAAGACGAAATTCAAGCATATGTGCACACAAGTATAAATACAGAAACTTGTAAGCACTTACCCAGAAGCCTGCAGATAATAAAACTAACAAAGCTAACAAATATTCAGAGCCTGAGGACAGATATAGTGTTGTAGGAAGACTAAGTCACCAAGGACAAGCGGAGGTGCTAGTGAATACAAAGAATGTTGACGTTACTGGGTATGGTGTCTAGGTTTCAGCTGGTAAAACTCAATTTTGTGGGCTTTTCGTGTCCATCTGAAATTCTTCTTTGACACATGTAAAATACTGGAAAATATCTATGCCACAGATAAGGTATTTTTGCCTACAAATTTATAATATTTCTTTATAAAATTTCAAGTCCTCTGGATGAAGGGTATAAAGTATTAATTAGACAGTGAATCATATTATTGCACAACTTATCTAAAGAAAAGTACTTGAAATTTTTCAAATTTCAAATCAATTGATCTTTGATACTGTTAGAAAGGTCATGTAACCTACAGGCAATTGTTTGGTGACTTAACGAAAGATCTTTAAGTTTTTGTAAAACATATTTTTGCCTTTTCTTATAACTTTCTAATAAAATTTTCGTAACTAAAATAATTTCTTTTGGGCCGGCCTGGTGGCACACTGGAGAGTGCGCCGCTTGGGAGTGCGGCGGCGCTCCCGCCGAGGGTTCGGATCCCATGTGGAGACCGGTTCCCGCTCACTGGCTGAGCGTGGTGCGGGCGCGACACTGAGGGTTGCGATCCCGTTGCCGGTCCCCGGTACGGGCGCGACACCGAGGGGTGCGATCCCGTTGCCGGTCCCCGGTACGGGCGCGACACCGAGGGGTGCGATCCCGTTGCCGGTCCCCGGTACGGGCGCGACACCGAGGGGTGCGATCCCGTTGCCGGTCCCCGGTACGGGCGCGACACCGAGGGGTGCGATCCCGTTGCCGGTCCCCGGTACGGGCGCGACACCGAGGGGTGCGATCCCGTTGCCGGTCCCCGGTACGGGCGCGACACCGAGGGGTGCGATCCCGTTGCCGGTCCCCGGTACGGGCGCGACACCGAGGGGTGCGATCCCGTTGCCGGTCCCCGGTACGGGCGCGACACCGAGGGGTGCGATCCCGTTGCCGGTCCCCGGTACGGGCGCGACACCGAGGGGTGCGATCCCGTTGCCGGTCCCCGGTACGGGCGCGACACCGAGGGGTGCGATCCCGTTGCCGGTCCCCGGTACGGGCGCGACACCGAGGGGTGCGATCCCGTTGCCGGTCCCCGGTACGGGCGCGACACCGAGGGGTGCGATCCCGTTGCCGGTCCCCGGTACGGGCGCGACACCGAGGGTTGCGATCCCGTTGCCGGTCCCCGGTACGGGCACGACACCGAGGGTTGCGATCCCACTGCCAGTCAGTAAAAAAAGACAAAAAGGAAAAAATAATAATAATAATAATTTCTTTTGCTATCTCTCCATCTAAAAATGATTTCCTCTTTTTTGCATGAATCTAAGACATTTTATAGATGGCCACAGTTACAAGCTCACAACCTTAAAAAATTTAAATTTGTTGGACATTAAATTCTGATTTCAAGTAACTAATTGCATCAATTCTTTCTTGACCTTTGAGAGGAAATTTCTAACCAAATCCACTACAGATTTGTTGAAAATGTCTTAATATTGCCCACTTAATTCTCTTTAAATTTTTTTACACAACAAACAGCTGTTTGGTTTTGCTGTGGCATAGCAAATTGCAAATGACATTCATCATGAAATCCCTAGTCTCGTTTTGTTTTCACTGCCCTGATCACAGTACTAGTTTCTGCATCCGCTCTCAATTCTGCAGCAGTAGCATGCCTTCGTTTTAAATTCAAAAATTTGTACATACTTATTTTAACTAAAAAGTTTTAATTACATATTAATTAAAATAATAAACATTTCAATTTAATTACCAATGACAATGTACATATATCACTATAAGTTACGCTGTCTGATTAAATATTCACATACACACTGCAATGTTAGAACACAGAAAAAAATTATTCAAAGTGAATAAATGAGCTGACACCAGCAAGATTGGTGGTTTATGTATAAAATGCATGTTAAATGTTAGTGTACTTCTACCAAAAAAAGAAAGTTGTGTTTGACAGAAATACATTTTGTATTCCTTCTAGCTTAAAAATTCACTTCCTCATGTTCATTAGCCACATTTTAATTGTTCGATAGCCACATATGGCTTATGGATAACATTTTGGATGTGCAAAGACAGGCCGTGTTCTCAGCAGTTTACATTTATTAATTTATGTAATTCTCACAACTCCTTAAAGTATCTATTCTAATTATCCCCATATTTCTGACAATGGAACTCAGGCAAAGGCAATTAAGTGAGTTACCCAAAGTCACACAGCTATTAACTGGGGAACTGGGATTTCAATCCAGACAGTCTGACTCCAGAGACTCTTAACCCACTAATCCACACTGTCCAAAGTACGACGGTGGCACTGAGTTTAATGAGAGAGGAACCAAAAGATGCAGAGTGCATTAAAAAACATACACCAAACTACTCTGCAATTAAAAGAAGGAAGTCAGGACTCACAGGAAGACACTATGAAAGAGCAGAAAAGACTCGAGCTGGTGGCAAAAGTCACTGTTGCAGATGAACAAGACAAGCACTGAGGGCAGCAAAGGGTAGGTTTAGAAGTGTGAGCACAGTGCTGCTTAGTCGTGAACAGAGAGAGGCAATCAGCTGTTTAGCTACTGTGGCAGGCTAAATTAACAGCCCCAGAGATATGGCCATGTCCTAATCACTGGAGCCTGGAACCCATGAATGGTTCCCTTATATTGGAAAGTAGGCCTTGCAGACATGATTAAATTTGCAATGAGGAGATTATTCTGGATTATGTGGGTGGGCCCTAAATGACCACAAGTGTCCTTACAAGAAAGATGAAGTGGGAGATTTCACACAGACAGAGGAGAAGGCCATGTGACCACAGAAGCAGAGATTAGGGCATGAGGCCACAAGCC